AGACTATTTCGGATTCATCTTTAGGGAAACAAGATCAAATTGTTGCCAATTATCTCGGGGCTAAGCCCACCCCAGCCTTAAAACCTGGTTACGCCGCTATTTCATATATATATATATATATGCCAGATATAGACGACTCAGTTAAGAAATTTAGATAAACATTCATTAAAATAATGTAGACAAAAGAAAAGAAGGTTTATTTCATGTTGTAGCTAGAGATATGTGTCATTCAGCTGTGTCGTTCACATCGATACATATGCGATCGCTCATTTTCTCGCCGTTTAGGAGCGAAAGCGGTTTCTGTTTGTTTGACAAAGCCGCGACCGGTGTAGAATAACATAGGTTTATGATGCCACAGTTGTGAGGTGGAAGGATAGAGAATTAATTTACTCGTCTAATTCAAAAATGAATAATACATTCATTCAGATGGTTTTTATTCAAATTTTTTTTCCATGTCTAAAATCTATCAGTTTTTCGGTCGGACAAACTCTAAACTTGTTTTGAAATTATAATTGATTATTCATTATGATTAAACTAGTTTACTAATTAGTATTAAAAATAATTTTTTTTCCCTTAAGGTATGGTAACTCAATGCACACGTTTTGATCGACTTATGTCAAATAGTGATAATCGTAAAATGGATATGTATATTCAAGTATGTCTTTTTTTGTTTATTTTTGTTTTGATTAGTTTAAATAAATTAATTTTTAAAGAATTTGGTACAAAAATTCAATGCAAAATTAGGTGGTGTTAATCAACTTGTATCATTAATGCGTGTATTAACATCACCATCAGCTCGTTCAGATGTATTTATGTTTTTTGGTATTGATTGTACTCATATAACATGTTCACGTGAACGACCAGCAATTGCTGCTATTATTGGATCAAAAGATTCAACAAGTTTGTAGCTTCTTAGTTTTTTTTTCTTTTTTTTGTTGACGTTTTATTTGAAAAATAATATTTGTTTTTCTTTTTTTATAGGTACACAATATGCTTGTCGTGTTGTACAACAATTTTCACCAAAAGGAAAAATAGCTCTTGAAATCGTTAAAGATCTTCATATACTTGTCGGTGAATTATTACGTGAATTTTCTAATCATAATTCACGTTTACCAAATAAACTTGTATTTTATCGAGCTGGTGTTGATGATGGATCATTTCAAAAAGTACTTGACAATGAATTACGAGCTATTCAACGAGCATGTAAAGGTAACTTTGATTTTTATATTAAAATATTATTTAACATGAAAAGAAAATGAAATTTCAATTTTTTGTAGAATTATATGGTCATAATCAATTGCCTCAAATTTGTTTTATTGTTGTTAAAAAACATCATAATACTCGTTTTTTTGTTTGGGATAAAAAATCAAATCAAACAAATAATATTCAACCAGGTTAAAAGAAATAATTAATTATTTTTATGTTTTTTATTTTGTTTTATTAATTTTAGGAACAGTTATTGATACCGATATTGTTTCACCAAATGGTTTTGATTTTTATCTTAATTCTCATGCCGCTATACAAGGTACATCAAAACCAATACTTTATCAAGTTTTATATGATGAAATTGGTTTTACATCAGACGATATTCAACAATTAACGTAAGCATTTATACTTATAAATTTTTCAAAAACAAAAATAAAAGACTTCTTTTATATGAATAGATATTATTTATGCCATACTGATGTACGATGTACAAAATCTGTATCTGTTCCTGCACCTGTTCATTATGCAACACTTTGTGTTTCACGTGGTCTTAATCTTGATTATGAAGGACAAATGGCAAATGAACAACGTAGTATTGCTACGTAAGTTTTAGTATTTTAAATATGATATAAGAGAAAAAAATAGAAAATTCTTTTATTTTAGTTCGGATTTTGAAGAAGAATTGTTGGATGAAAATGTTATCGTCACTTTAGATGATGTACAAACAACAAAAATCGATTTTAATCCATCGATTGAAAATACAATGTGGTTTGCATGAATATTCATTTTCTATTGTATATAGTTTTTTCTGCTTTATGTTAATTATCTTTTGGTCAAACATGACCATGCATTTGCTTGTGTTTAGTTGTCTATTTGTGATTTTTTTTGTTACTGTTTTTTTTCTTAAGTGATGTTTATTTTCCTTTTTTGTTTTGTTTGCATATCTCTTTTTTTTTGGTATATGTAACTGATTATATGATAAGATGAGGAAATTGATTAACCATTGAACGAAGAATTTCGTCTTTTGAAGTAACTATTCAAGTTTTTCAAAGTTATGCTTATAATTTAATTTTTACAAATTAGAACTATGATAGTGGTCATTTTGAAATGCGAGATAGAGATTCATTGCCTCACATATATATACAAGTCGAAGTTGACAATAAAATGTAGCAGAATAATACTCAAGCACTAATAAAAAAAAGGTGCATTTTTCAATGGTGTCTAGGTTTTACATGTGTAGACGATCATTGTTTGAGTAGATATGTATAGAGACTAAAGACTTGCTACTAAATATGTGTTTCATTTTTTCGTAAGATTCTTCATGATTCAACAAGACTTATTGTGAAATGTTGATGAGGAAATGTCTCCAATTGAAACATCACTTTTTTTGCTTCAGTACATGCTCAAATGATATAGCTTAATAGACTCTTAACAATCCTAACGGAGCTTATCTTTTCAAGCTGAGTGAGTGGAGATATATGATTATTACTATTGAACTGATCTGATAAAAAACCAAAACTATATATGTGTTACCAATTCGTATTTGGAGCTACACGGTGAAGGCTATATAGTTCAAAGTAGTAATGATAAATGATGCTCGTAGTCTTATATGATGCTTCTCATTCATCTATCATTAGAATTCATCATTATCTCGGTATATCTGGTTTCTTTCATTACCAGATATAGAAATGAGAAATTTTGATTGTCTCAATCAAAAAATTGGTTTCTGCATGGGTCATCATATCAAACTAATTATATTCACTTTTATTTGATATAATGGATGTTGGAAATATACAAAATCAGTATTGTTTTAATCAAACATGAATGAAAAACTGTCCAAATCTATCAAAATACGTTGATCCTACTCATTATCATGTCAAACTCACTTCACAAGAGTGTTCCAGAACAGAACACTACCACTGAACCGGTCGCCATTGTGATCTAATACGAATGTCATTGACTTTGCATAACTATTGTAATACTTCCCTTTTGATCATACTAACTTTCATGAGATGCTTAATTTACACACTTTGGAAGGATCGTCATCCATTAGAAAAATAAATATTTTTACACTTTTACTTGTTTTTGCCGTGAAAGTTAAGAAAAAAAAAACTAGTGAGGCTTACTTGTTGTGCACCTGAGTATACAAGTCGAATCAGTAAGGAATCAGATGAATGAGAAAAGTAACTAATCTAAAGTTACAGAGAATCAAAACATGTGACAACTGTGCTTACAAAAAAAGCTGTTAGCGCAATCCCTTGCGGAATTAAAAATGTGAAACACGATGGATCTATTGCTACTAATTTAATGGAAATCCTTTTGTTCCATTTCCTTACGACACATTTGTAGCTGACCGTATATCTGATGTTTTACAACTACAGTTTCTGTGTCACGGTCTGTGATGGGTATGAATTTTTTCTGTCACGGTCAGGGGGAGGGGGGGGGGAAGTGGGTGCAAAATTTCTACCCTAAACACTTCAACGCTCCTTTCAGATCGTGTTTCACAAAAAATATGACTGAAAAAAACTTGCTATGTCTCTTCCTGTTTATCTTAATGAAACATAAGATTGAATCTTCATAAACATATGAAGTGATGGTTGACATGGAAGTGAGTACGGGTGTGGGGTGTGGGTGTGTGGGTGTGTGGGTGTGGGTGTGGGTGTGGGTGTGGGTGTGGGTGTTGGTGTGGGTGTGGGGTG